TTAAAAGTTAAATTTAAAAATATCTTGAGACAAATGAAAATGGACACATAACCTACCAAAATTTATGAGATGGAGCAAAAGCAATTGTAATAGGAAAATTTATAGCAATAAATGCCTATGTCAAAAAAGAAGAAAGATCTACAATGGACAACCTAACATTACAACTCAAGAAGCTAGAAAAAGAATAACAAACTAAGACCAAAGTTAGTAGAGAAAGGAAATAATGAAGGTCAGAGCAGAAATAAATGAAATGGATATTAGAAAAAAAAAGAAAAGATCAATAGAAGGTGTTTTGAACAGACAAACAAAATTGACAAACCTTTAATTAAACCAAAAAAGAGAGAAGACTCAAATAAATAAAATCAGAAATGAAAGCAGAGAGATTACAACTGATACCACAGAGATTAAAAAAAATCATAAGTGACTATTATCTACAACCCTGTGCCAACAAATTGGAAACCTTGAAGAAAAGAGCACATTCCTAGACACATGCAGTCTAACAAGACTCCATCATGACGAAATAGAAAATCTGAAGAGATCAATAATGAAAAAGGAGAGGCCAGGCGCGGTGGCTCACGCCTGTAATCCCAGCACTTCGGGAAGAAGCTAAGGCGGGTGAATCACCTGAGGTCAGGAGTTCGAGACCAGCCTGGCCAACATGGTGAGACCCCTTCTCTACTAAAAATACAAAAATCAGCCAAAGTGGTGGCATGCGCCTGTAGTCCCAGCTACTTGGGAGGCTGGGGCATGAGAATCGCTTGAACCCAGGACGCAGAAGATTCAGTGAGCCGAGACTGTGGGATGTAATTATTATATGAACGGGGACATCAATTGGAAGAACTACTCGGTTATCAACTTCGAGAAGTTGAAGGTCTCCTGGGTTTAAAAATAATGGTGGAAATATATAATGCCTGGGAGAGAGCGAGATCCTGTCTCAAAGAAAAATTTTAAAATAAAAAAAAATAATGAGGAAGGAGATTCAGTAATAAAGTCTCCCATCAAAGAAAAGCCTAAAACAATGACTTCACTCCTTAATTGTACCAAACATTTAAAGAAGTAAGACCAATCTGTCACAAACTCTTCTCAAAAATCGAAGAAGGAATCCTTCCATACTAACTTTATGGGACCAGCATTACCCTGATACCAAAGCCAGACAAGGACTTTGAAAAGAAAAGAAAATCACAAGAAAAGAAATTTACAAGAAAAATAAAATTACAGGCCAATATCACTAATGAATGTAGATGCAAAAATCCTGAACAAAATACTACCAAACCAAGTTCAATTGCACATTTAAAGGATGGTTCACTATGATCAAGTGGAATTTTTCCCAACGATGCAAGGATGGTACAACATATGCAAATCCACAAATGTGATTCACCACATTAACAGAATGAAGAACAAAAAAAGAAACTATAACATCATCTCAGTAGCTGTAGAAAAATCATTTGCCAAAATTCAGCCTCCTTTTATGATTTTAAAAGAAAAAAAAAAAACCCTCTCAACAATTAGGTGTAGAAGGCATGTATCTCAACCCAATAAAGGCTATACATGACAACCCCATAGCTAACATCATACTAAATGGTGAAAGTTAAAATGTTTCTTATTTCACATGATATACTTAAATCAACTCAAAATAGATTAAAGACTTAAACATAAGACCTTAGTCTAAAAAACTGCTAGAGGAAAACATAGTTGAAAAGCTCTGTGATATTATTCTGGACAACTATTTTTTGGATATAACCTCAAAAACACAGGCAACAAAAATGAATACAGAAAAGTGATACTACATCAAGCTAGAAAGCTTTTGCACAGCAAATGAAATAATCCATGTAGTGAAGAGACAAGCTATGAAATAGAAGAAAATATTTACAAACGACACATCTTATAAGGGATTAATGTCAAAAGTATATAAGGAACTCAACTCAATAGCAAGAAAACAAATACAATTTTAAAATGGGCAAAGTACCTAAACAGACATTTCTCAAAAGAAGATATACAAATTGCTAACAGGTATATGAAAAAATGCTCAGTATTACTAATCATCAAAGAAATGCAAATTAAAACCACAATGAGCTATCACTTCACACCTGTTAGAATGCCTATCATCAAAAAGACAGAAGATAAGTTTTGGTAGAGATGTGGAGAAGAGGGAACCCTTGTACACTGTTGGTAAGATTGTAAATTAGTTCAGCCATTATGAATTATAGTATGGAGATTCTTCAAAAAATTAAAAATAGAACTACCATATGACCCAGCAATCCCACTACTGGGTATATATTCTAAGGAAATGAAATCAGTGTGTGGAAGAGATATTTGCATTCCCATGTTCCTTGCAGCATTATTCACAATAGCCAAGATATGGAGTCAACCTAAGCGTCTGTAAACTGATGGATGAATAGATTTCAAAAGTGTCGTGTGTACAATCATGCATCATTTAACAATAAGGATGTGTGCTAAGAAATGCATCATCAGGTGATTTCTTTTCTTTTCTTTTGGAGACTTAGTCTTGCTCTGTTGCCTAGGCTGGAGTGCAATGGCACGGTCTCGGCTCACTGCAACCTCCGCCTCCCGGGCTCAAGCCATTCTAGTGCGTCGGCCTCCCAGGTAGCTGGGACTACAGGCATGCATCACCACGTCCGGCTAAGATGGGGTTTCACCATGCTGGTCAGGCTGGTCTCGAACTTCTGACCTCAAGTGATCCACGCGCTTCAGCCTCCCAAAGTGCCAGAAGTGGATGTGAGGGCGATCTGACTGTGACATCTGTCACCGCATTGATCGCCAGGGTTGATTCGGCTGATCTGGCTGCCTTCCTCCCCCACTGTTCCATGTGCGTCCCTCCGGAAGCTGCGCGCTTGGTCGAAGAGGACCACCATCCCCGCTAGAAGAGGGCCAGTCTTCGGTCAAGGGTATATGAGTAGCTGCACTCCCCTGCTAGAACCTCCAAACAAGCTCCCAAAGTGCTAGAGTTAGATATGTGAGACACCGTGCCCCTCCTCTTTTTTTTTTTTTTTTTTTTTTTTTTTTTTTTTTTGTGAGAGGGAGTCTCACTCTGTCGCCCAGGCTGGAGTGCAGTGGTGCGATCTCAGCTCACTGCAAGCTCCGCCTCTCGGGTTCACGCCATTCTCCTGCCTCAGCCTCCAGAGTAGCTGGGAATACAGGCGCCCGCCACAGCGCCTGGCTAATTTTTTTTGTATTTTTAGTAGAGACGGGGTTTCACCATGTTAGCCACGATGGTCTCAATCTCCTGACCTCATGATCCACCCGCCTTGGCCTCCCAAAGTGCTGGGATTACAGGCGTGAGCCACCGCGCCCCGCCCCAGCCTCATTTTTTGAACATTATGTTCAACATGTTACTATACTGAATACTGTTAGCGACTTACAACCCGATTGTACCTCTTTGTGTATCTAAACATAGAAAAGGTACAGTGAAAAGAAATATTCAAAGTCGAATTAACAGTATTGGCAATTGCTTGGAATAAAGACAAGGAAAGAGTCCAAGATCCCAGGGTGTCCAGTATAGTACTGGTGTCATTAACGAGAGCAAACAAACAAACAAAACAAAAAAAAACAGGCCGGGCGTGGTGGCTCAAGCCTGTAATCCCAGCACATTGGGAGGCCGAGACGGGCGGATCACGAGGTCAGGAGATCAAGACCATCCTGGCTAACACGGTGAAACCCCGTCTCTACTAAAAAATACAAAAAACTAGCCGGGCGTGGTGGCGGCGCCTGTTGTCCCAGCTACTCGGGAGGCTGAGGCAGGAGAATGGCGTGAACCCGGGAGGCGGAGCTTGCAGTGAGCTGAGATCCGGCCACTGCACTCCAGCCTGGGCGGCAGAGCGAGACTCCGTCTCAAAAAAAAAAAAAAAAAAAAAAAAAAACAGAGGAAAAGGAGATTTGGGAGGAAAGATGATGGCCCAATTTGGGATATATTGAATTTAGTTGATAATCTGTTATTGGGTACATAAATAAGTAAATCATAAACCAGAGGTATTTGTCTCCTCAAGTATGCACAACGTAGTGTTTAGGGAGGTTGGAAGTCTGCTGTTTACATGTGTGAGTGGACCAGCAGCCTCACATCTCTGTTTTTCAATATCCTTAAATGTAAAATGATGATGATGGCAAGTTACTCTTGGGGATGAATCACAATCAAATGAGCTGTTATAAGTAAAAGATTAAAACAGTACCTGGCCCAGAGTAAACACTCCAGAAATGCTAGATATTGCCACTATTGCTTGATCCTGTGGCAATGAAGATCTCCTTCTCATCCAACTTTTATGTGAAAGACAGAGATAGCAAAAGCTTCTGAGATGACTTAGGGCCTAAGATTCCTGGAACTCTTTGTGGGTAGCTCCAGAGGGCAGTTCTATGTCTATGGATGAAGAGTTAGTGTTGCTGTGGGAATCTCAGAGTCAAGTGCTGCAATATGCTCTAGAAAAGTGCAGAGTTTTGTGATTTGGTGGAGACAACCTGTACAAACTCTCAGGAGTCAATTGTTAAATGTTTGACAATGTTGCCAGCCAGTTGTTGAATATAGCCATTATTAAAAATACAATTGTAGGCCAGGTGTGTTGGCTCACGCCTGTAATCACAGCACTTTGAGAAGCCGAGGCGGGTGGATTACCTGAGGTCAGGAGTTCGAGACCAGCCTGGCCAATATGGTGAAACCCCATCTCTACTAAAAATACAAAATTAGCCTGGCATGGTGGTATGTGCCTGTAATCCCAGCTACTCCAGAGGCTGAGGCAGGAGAATCGCTTAGAACCTGGGAGATGGAGGTTGCAGTGAGTCGAGATCTCGCCACTGCACTCCAACCTGGGCGACAGAGGGACACTCTGTTTCAAAAATAAATAAATAAAAAATAAAATTGTATAAGATTACAAATAATTAAGTTATACTAGAAATAAGGTAATAAATGCTGAACACTCACAATTTTAATTATTTTTACTACATTTTAATATTATCTGTGTTCTTCAGGCTATTCTCATCTATTTTATCCATAGGGTGGAAATATTGTATAATGACGTGCTACTCCACATCTCTTCACCGCATTCAATGATGTCACATTGAGAGCTTGAAATCAGCCATGGTGAGAATATTTATATCACAGAAGTTGATAACTGCTATGAATTTATTTATTGTTTTATTGATTGATTAGACCAGAAAATGGCAAACTGTAACACATAAAACAAATCTAGCCCATTGCCCATTTTTGTATGGTTTATGAGCTAGAGTGGCTTTTATATTTTTTAATTGCTGAAAAAAATTAAAAGAAGAATAATATTTTACGAAAACTATATGAAATTCAAATTTCACTGTTCATAAATAAAGTTCTGTTGGAATACAGTCACGCTCATTGGTTTACATACTGTCTGTGGGTTGCGTGTGTGTTACAGAGGCAGAATTGTATAGACAGAGATAGTTGAGATAGAGACCATATGGCCTGCAGAGCCTAAAATATTTACTATCTGGCCCTTTACAGAAAAAGTTTTCCAGTTCCTTGTTTAAACTTAAGAAAGTGATGGATAAAATGTAAATAATGCAGATTAAACTTTTTAAATATGTCATGTCTCTGGCCATTGCATTGTGAATAGTATTTAAAAATTGAGGAAATGTTCTTCCAGCATTCCAGTCATTGACCAAAAAGTTATTTCCCGCATACATCTTTGATGTTTTACTTAGTCTCATTCATCGACTTAAATGAAAATATCCACTAACATTCATATGAGAACTACATTTGTTTCTCAATGGCAACTGTAGATTGGCTATAGATTTTAAAAGTTCAGCAAAAATTAACAGGAGTATTCTGTAAGAATCAATTAGCTATATGAGTATTTTTTTATTATTTATAAGTTGTATGCTACATATTCTTTACATTAGTACAATTCATAATAAGCATATGTACATATACATAGGTATACTTTTTTTCCCCAGAGAGCCAGTTATTAATTCTTGTTTGTTTTTTGTTTTTGATATGGAGTCTCACCCTGTCACCCAGACTGGAGTGCAGTGGCACGATCTCGGCTCACTGCAACCTCCGCCTCCCAGGTTCAAGTGATTCTCGTGCCTCGGCATCCCTAGTACCTGGGATTACTCGAGCCTGCCACCATGCCCAGCTAATTTTTGAATCTTTTGGTAGAGATGGGGTTTTGCCGTGTTGGCCAGGCTGATCTCGAACTCCTGACCTCAGGTGATCTGCCCGCCTCAGCCTCCCAAAGTGCTGAGATTACAGGTGTGAGCCACTACACCCGGCCCAGCTGTTAAATATTTAGTAACATACTGCTGGCTCAGTTCCTTTCCTCACCTTTTTGCATTCTTACCTCCCCTGGGAAATGGAAAAATCCCTGTTGATTCAGGGAGTTGGTGACCATTTCTTCTACGGCAGTATCATTCTGGTATTCTACAATGATCACAATTCAGGGGCTGGATGACAACAAGTCTAGGGACTGAGAGAGTCTGAAATAAAGATTAGACCAGGATCCCTCTGTGAGTCTTTTTCTTAAGCTTAGGCTTAACAACAACCTATTATTCAATCGTAACAGAATTGCTGAACTGTGCCCATGACTTCTCATGAGTTTTGGCTTAAATTATTTTCATCTGGGATTCCTTTTTTTCTTTTCTTATTCTCATTTCTCCAAATTGGCCTGGAACCTTGCCTGCTGGGACCCCCGAATCACAAAAATCTTTTGATAGTCCCCCAAGTGACTTATAAGCTTGGACATCGCAGGTAACTGACAAGCTTGGCCATCATCTAAGCCTGCCTAGTAGAATGCTTCTTCCTTGCTGCCCTTGCCTCAAAAAAGTTACACAAACTGAGACCCCAGGAGCCCTTGCCCAAATTAAACCCAGCCTCTGGGCAAACATTAAGTAAGAGACAACTGAAAGGATGACAAGCACTCCTTGTTCTCACTGAAAGTCTCTAACTACACAGACAGAAGGGCATGCTGGAGGCCTCATTGCAGAACTTGGATGTTAATGCCTTAGTCATTCCTTCCTCCCTAAATTTGTTAAGGCTAAGATTATTGGGGTCACTCACAGAAAATGAACTAGCACAGCTCATTCAGCATTAGTAATTAGGTGATGATATATTTATGTAAAGACAAATGCATAAAAGCTTTGAATTGGTAGCATCGTAAGAGAAGAATGTATTATCTGATTATTTTCTAAAGTGAAGGAAATGTGTGCTGCTCATTTCACAACTGTTCCCTTCACCCAAATGTGCTTCCTGAGCAAAAATGTGTTTTAGGCACATAATCAATGTTTTTATGTAATCATTTCAAAACTGGAGAGCCAGTTTAGATTACAACCATAATCAAAATTCATAGCGTGACGTTTTTTGAAACATTAGGTGTCTGAGAAAATTATCACACGATTTCACCATGGGACTGTGTTGCCAATTGATTTTAAAACTACACTGATGATTTCACGGTTAGCTTTGGGCCCATCATTGACTAACATGTCACATCCCACCTTCCATCAGCTAACTATGTTCTTGTCGAAAAAATGTGAAGTCAAATCTGCTTGTGTTTTCTCAAACCAAGGAAAAACAGTGGGTGTAATGTTTTAAATTAAGCAAGGTTGTTATTCTGGTAGGTATAGAAGAACTTAAAAATAGTTCGTACCAACCCAGAAATCCCTTATTCATATTTCATGTATTAAGGTAGCTCTAACTATTATATTTCATCCTTTTGAAAGTTTCAGATTAAGCAGTCACTGTCTTTTCCTCCTCATGGATGACTTGCAAAAATAGTGAAACCCATTTTTCCAACAGGTTGCCTAAAGCAACAAGATTCCTATTATGTAAGAAAAAAAATAGATTGCTTATATTTAGTACATTAATTGTTGTCCCAAAATACTCCCCTAAGCTTATAAAATTCCTCCTTAAAGCTGTTTATTAGAATGGGGATTCATTTTAGTAAAGTTACAAATTGTTCGTGGCCAACAGTCACATCGTTCAATGTGTTGTATAAATAGCAGTAGCCAATGCCTGGTAATAGAATATGAGTATGACTTTTATTATATTATCACACAAATTTTGAATGGTTTCTTTATATTAATAACACTGATTATTAAGTGAGAAGATGGCCCTGTATAGTGAGGCTTGACTACATGGGATGAACATTTCTAATTCCAGGAATAAAACGAAGACATATGTACATGTATATCCATATAGGTATCTATATCTTTCTATGCTTACACATATGCATTCGTATCTATATAATCTGTAATGAGTTTGTTTTCCTCAAGTATATTTCAGTTTTACTGAATTAGACAAAAGCCCCCAAAAAGGGTATTGTATCGTCATCCAACTGATTAGAGTCTGAGTTTTACACTTTCCTTCAAGCACCTGACATTTTCTTCTTGTTCTGGCAGCCCCATTTTTAGTTCCTCCCTCCTGTTTGGTCAGAAATGAAACCTTGACAACATGCCACATTCCCCTGCCATCTGATTATAAATCACGTCTGTGTGTGTTCTCGGCAGCAAGCAGGAGCTTCATGTGGGGCTGTAGAAAGCTACACAGCTGGAGCTAAACTGTGATTTTATTCAGACTCTGCAAGAGAATTGGAGAATTATAGGCATAGATAATAAATACAGCTCCAGGAGAAGAGAGAAAAGACAAAAGGGGGTCAAACAAAATAAAGAAGCACAGGTAGAGGCATACGATGTGCTCTCAGCTGCAAAGACTGAACAGGAGGCTGCTTCCTGTCAAAATTCACATCAGCACTTGGCCAGGAATGGGGTGGGATCAGAAAATGCTTCCTGAAGGAGATGGTGCCTGAGATGTGTCCAGAATCACTCACGTTGATGCATAATGAAAAGATCATTGGACTTAGAGCCAGAGATCACGGTTCAAGTCCTAGGTCTACTACTCATTAGCTTTGTGATCTCCAGCAGTAATCATTGAAGCTAACAGTTATCACCTCCTACTGTGTACAGGCAAGCACGATGCTAAAATCTTTGTGTACATTAACTACCATATGAATAAGGCCCAATTATTTTCATCTCCATTTACTGCTACGGAAACTGCATTACAGAGACATTAAGTTACTTGAGTCAAGGAATGAGTAAAATAAGTGGATTTGAGCCACTGCCATGAACTACCACTGCAAACTCTAAACTTGCAAGAAGTGCGTTAGTTTTCTTAGATATAAAATGAGGCTAACAATGTCTGTCCTATTCTCACATAATCTTGTAAGGATCAAATGTAATAATGTAGTTGAAAGTGCACTGAAAAATGTATATCCAAGAAAAATACAAGACGTTAATTCTTTTTCCAGCCACTGTAGCATTGAATGACTTCGCACTGTTGCTTCATCAACACGTGCCATAACTATCCTCCCCAGCCCAGAGCTACAAAAGCTCTGTGTGGTCATGTCATGTGCTTAATGCACAGAGGATATACTAACTGTTGGCTTCATTGCCCATAGGACACACACCCCTTGCTGAAAACCATTCTCGCCAAGATGCTCCCACTCCCAACCCTGCAAATGTGATACCTGAAGCTCATGTTAGTCACAGGAAACACCACGTCATTAGGGTAATGCTTAAGGATTCCATCTGGAGGATTCCATCTGAGGCCTGTTCACGCACCAACTCCCTCCAACCTAAGCCCAGGTGTTGAGGAGTTATGATCTTGAACTTGGTTTTTTCATGGTTTCTGGAGTTCCTTTCTAGTTAAGCTTCCTAAGTTAAGGGAGAGGGGGCAGTTGAGTTTACAGTACTGTGATACAGCCAGATCTGAGATGTTTGGCCTCTTGAGTTTAACCGAATAGAGAAAGCAGGAGAGAAAACCTCTGAGGGCCTCCCAACTGCAAGCAGAGGCCTAACTCAGGGACTGTCTTACCGGTCTGTCATTGTGGGACAGACAGCTCTGAGCAGAGAGATGGTAGCTAAAGACTAAATGTTGACTTTCTGCACATTTCTCAGAGTTATACTGCCACATAGAGGGCACTATGTGGTTGAAAGGAAGCAGGAGAGTGACAGAGATGGCTCTTTCTCTCCAAGTTCAGTGTTTGTTTGAGTACAGGATAGATAATCAAACAGAATGGGACGTTTTAAAAAATCCCGTTATTTAAATTTTGCCTTGCTGTTTATTTCTAGCAGATGTGTAACGGTGAAGTCTAGAGTCCAAAGCAACCCTGGGAACAAAGAAGTTGAAACCGATGATC